ACTCAAAGGTTGGGATTCTCCCTGCAAAAGCATGTTGTTGTAGTAAGTCCAGACTGTTAAGCCTAAAAGTAAATTGCCACTGCAGAGGATGCACAGGTAGGTATCATATGCTTACTTTCCTTTCAATTCAAATATATGTGATTTTTTTGCTGACCTTTACTTTATAACCTGATTCCTGAGCATGCTGTACTAGGATGGCATTGTACTGTGCGTATCCCCAAAGGAAATCATTCACCCTTAGGAATACCAAGCAGATATTTCACATTCTTCAGCTGGTTTTAACTCTAGGGCACTGTGACAAGTTACAGCATTAGTGCAGAGCTGAGAGCTTCAAAATGATCACGACTAAATGAAACAACTCAGCTGTGGCAACACAATTCTGCAATGCTATTAAAAAAAAATAATAAAGCAGCATTAGGGAAAAAGCACATTGAAAGACCATTATCCTTGGAAATAAAGGAGGAGAGTCAAAACAAATTGCTGCTGTTTCCCTCTGAAAGAGGATTTTAGCCCTGTCATTCAGACTACCTACAGAGGCCTATGGAAAAGACACTTGCTCTACTCATGGCAGGTAACTGTTGGGAGATTATGAATGTTGAATCTACTTTTTGCACAGCTCCACCCTTAGGGGACAGACACCTCTGGTAGAGAAATAAGACTTGTCATAAAACTATGAAAAGAAGGTATCTATTATAATTATCATCATTGAACCAGTTGCCATTTAGAAGCCACATTCTTAAAGCTGTGACCATAACTACACATCCCCTTCCTTACACTACCTGCTACAGTAGCCTTATGGGGGTGAGGAGAAGGAGGAAGCTTCCAGAATACTTGCTCTGACTCATCTCATTTATTGCCCATTCTACCAAACATCATGTTCACTTACTCAACATTCTTTTATTGCTGGTGCATGACTCTAGCTATTTCTTGCAGACCAGGGCTTACAACCAAAGCAATTCTCATCATGAATTCATGCCTGGCTCTGTCAATGCTGTGTACTCACCATTATCAATATGCATGGAATTCATTCCCCCTCTTTCCCCCTACAAGATGGGGTAGCAGGTCTGCTAGTTTGGTAAGCACATTCAACAGACACAAACTCACTGCACACTTTAGGATGCCAGGTCATTCATGCCACATCATATTAATGCCCAGCTGAAAATCCAGACTCTTAGAGGCAATGGTATAATTTATCTTACGTGCTCAAAACATACTTGTATGGAAAAGAACTACAGAATTTGTTCTTTCTTAAGTCAAGTAAGAACTTATTTGTGCAATCTTAGTATTTCTTTCAACATTTTAGAACATGCATGTCCCTCACCATAGGAGAAAAATTAATAGCTTCAGCATGCAAAACTATTTAACTCCAAATTTACAAAACAGAGGTTTTTTCTCACTTGGAAGCAAACAAACATGGATACAAATTTTCAGTGAACCCCTCCACCCATGAAGATTCCTAGCATCTCTTACGTAGACCATTCAACCATAGAACACCCCTTTCTCTATCCTAACGCTCAAGTATCAAAACTGAGAACCACAAACCACTCATTTTCTTCTGCTCCTTCCCCAGAAATCCTCAGTGTCCTTTCTCTGCCCTTGCAGTGTTCTGTTTCTCTACATCACACCCTCATCTCTTCAACCTGCACTTCTTACCCCTAACAGAGGCATCAGGCAAATTTAAGTGGCCTTACCTTTCCCACTTTCCACCATGCCTCCCAGTGCTGGTGCAAGACTTCCCCAACTACTCCCATCTATTGTCAGCACCTTTTTGTTGGTAAACAGAATTGTGTGTTAGAACAATTCACCATTAACTGCTACAGTAAATACTGGTACAAAAGAAAAGGTCCTCAGAGGCATCTTTCTTAACAAGCAAATAAAGTTTTATTAAATCCCAACATTTAAACCATTTGTTATACCACAATTTACATATTTTCAAATCCACTCTATAGTGATTATTTAATGTAATAAATAGAAGTTTCACAGAGTGATGACACTGTTCTATTCTGGTATTACTCTTACAGTGATTAACTTCCCCCCAACCCCTCAACTGGCCTTTTTAGGAAGAAATACATATTCATTAAGTTCTCCAGATCAAATACATTCCATACACACCAAATAAAATGTAATTACAAACAAAAAAGCAGCACAGCAATTTTCTTCTCATCTGGAATACTGAACATAGGTCTGCATGGTGAGTAATCAGGTCAAACAGGGAAAAGTATAGAAAAAGACTTGAAGGACAATTAGGGATTGCTGTCAGATTTCAGAAGAGGTTCCTCTTACTATCAAAAAGAACATTGAGCTAGGATCCTTTCTATCCATGCTTAAAAAAGTAAAAGGCAAATCAGGAAAAGGCTTTGAAGTGTTTTGGCACAGAAAGAAATAATTTGAAGTGATAGCCATCAAGCTTTCAGAGGGAGAGACCCAAAAAAAATAATGTACAAGATCAAAATACCACTGGGAGAACTCAATAGATTCACGAAATGATAATATGACCGCTCCTAAAAGGATGTGCATCTGGTGCTGAAAGGATACACAGAGATCTTCTGAGAGAGGCACGTACAAAGTAATGAAGAAGCCATCTATGCACCCCTGGGATGGAAGGCCCACTTCAGCTAGGTTTTTGCACATATTTGGACAGAATAAAGAGAGAACTAACAAGAACAGGGAGGAAAAAGAGAAAAATACTACTAGCAACTCCCTGGGAAACTAACACCACCTAGGCCAGTCCCACAAAAGCATCCTGATGAGGAAACTTGCTTTAAAATTTATTCCATCCAACAAATATGGAATTTTTTACTGTGTTAAGCTTAACACAGTAATAACTCTCAGCCTAACAAGTGAAAAGCTATCCTCCTGGACCACTGGCCTACAGGGAATACTCTGCACTACTAAGCCCAGAATACTGCTTTTAACTGAAGGCATAGTGATAAGTAAAGAGAGGGTTATAGGCTATCAAGATTCTCTCTACATGAGACCATTTGACACTACACCACTGATGGGAAAGAACTTCAGCTGGAACCCATATTGGCAGTATTAAATATATGTGGAAACTTCAGGATAATTAAGCAGATATTATTGCACAAGCATGAAGAAGTTCATAAAAGTTACAGGTGTTGGGCAACAATAATTATCTAGTCCAGCAAGTAAAGAGCCTGGCTGATGAGGCGCTCAGTTTTCAGACCAAAAGAGGGTCAACTCCTCCAAGTCTTTCAGCAGCCATCCAGCACATGACACATTTGCCCTATTTCTCAATATTCCTGTAGTAAAAATAAAAGATTTTGAAGAGAGGAGGAGGATACAAAACCGGCTTAGCAGTTAGAAACTCTGCTGGGGCAGGGGTGTCTGAGGGGAGTGGATGAAGTGAAACTGAAATGTCACATGAAGAAAAGCTCGACTGCACAAAGTCTGTGGTACTGTTCAAATACACCCCACATTCCTCCTGCGAAAGGACGACAGGAGCTGAAGAACAAACCAGCAGGGTGTCTGGCTCAGGATCACAAGGAAAGCGGGAAAAGATTGACCACCACCTGGTCTTGCCATCCTCAGTTTCTTGTGTAAGCACTGATCTCTTGTGCCACATGCTACATGGGTCTGCCTGAGAGGAACCCAGGTAGTGGTGGGCAGAAAGGCAGAGTAAAGGACACCCTGTGGCTACAGCTACAGGCTTCAGAGGCAGAGGCAGGATTCCCAGACTTGAATTTTTCCATGGTTTTCACACAGCAACACTGGGGTTAAAGGGGAGAAGAGAGGAAGATGTACAGAAGTCAGTTGTTTCATCATCCTGGGCAATATATACACATGAATTCACATCCTGGCTTTCTTATGTGAACACAAAGATAAAAAAGCAATTATATGCTCAGAATTATAGGGATTTGTGTTACGTCCTTCTAGGAAAGAAAGACAGAAAATCTCCATCCCTCATTTTTCTATTGCAGTTGTCCTGCTACGTGCCTGTCAAGACAACCAGGACATTGATACACAAATGCTACTAAGGAAAAGTCACCTGCTGCAGAGTTCAGTATCCTTAAAAAGGGCACCCTTTACTTGAAATATCAAAACCTTTTAACAGAATTCAAGCATTAACCTATTTGCATTGTTTTCAAATAGCATCTCCTTGCTCTTGTAAGAGAAAAATCACAGAAGACAAATTAAGCAAAAACAAAAAATGTGCAGAATGAAAAGAGACTGACTATTTCAGCTTTGGATTTTCTGCTTTACACCAGGAGGTCCTGTATGCACAAGGCAATTCCAACTTTTCTTTCTCATTTGCCTTTATTAGAGCTATTTTCAGCAAGTAATGATCAGATGCCCAGTTATTCTGCGGAAAATGCCTGCAGAAACACAGCTGCTTCACCCTTTGGTATCAGTCTCCCCAGCTTTTTAACTAGAAAAAAATGGATTTCAAGAACTGATGCCTTGCAACTGTTAACACTGGTAACAACACAGACTGGAAGCTGTAGTGCATGCTGCAGACAGACAAAAAGAATACCTTTAAAACCATTCCCTTCACAGAACATTTCTAGCAAAAGGCTTCTTGAGTTTACAGACTTTGTGGACACTCTTCAATTGTTTCTGCAAAACGTGCACGAATGATTTCACCGCAAGAGATCAGAACTTCACCCGCCTGAGACTGGAGAAGGCAGCTCCTGATGGATAACGAACAGTGGAGCATAAAGTAGCTGCAAGACACAGATATTGCTGAACATGCACAGGACACATTGTCTCTGGGACATCGGTGTTATCTTTAAATGCAGAACCTCAATAATAATAATAATAATAAACACAAAGAATTAATTTCTTCAATATTTTAAAATGCCCCCATTTGTTTCATAAGCCCAAGATACAGTTGGTGTTTTCTGCTCACACTTAACAGAACCTGCTGAAGTCCACCCCAACATATCTTCTCCAGCTTCCCTGAAACATGATGTGCTTTCAGAGCAAAAGAGCCAAGATACTGACCAAAAAGGATGGTACAAGTCTGTCAAATGGAAAACTCCTCAAGGAGAACGGAGAATTATCTCTGTTATTTCAGCTCTGCTGCCCAGCCTCATGGGTATTCCAAAGTACATCGTCCCCGGGCTGACATACACAAAGGTGTTCTGCCCAACTTTGTACAAGCCAACAAAGAATGGGTTCAGCAAATAAGCTCCAGCATTTAGTGGGAAGATCTGCCCTCCATGAGTATGGCCAGAGAGAATTAAGTTGATGTCTGGTCTCTCCTGAAGGGCCCACTTGGCAGCAACAGGCTGATGAGCTAACAGCACTATTGCATGCTCACTGCTACAACCTCCCAGGGCTTGCTTTAAATCCATGCCATGTCCCGAGTAGCGCAACACATCTGCTTCAATATCATCAACGCCAGCCAGGCAGAACCAGTCCTCAGTGCTCTGTGGTGAAACAATCTTCACATTCTCATTGTGCAGTGGCCGAATGTTAAACGATTTTAACAGCTCAAACCAGTTGCTAACATCTGATGTGTAGTACTCATGGTTTCCTGTGACAAAATAAGTCCCCAGAGGGGAGGCAAGTTCTCCAAGAGGCTCAACAGCAGGTCGGATGATCTCTGCCTCAGAGTCAGTCAGGTCCCCAACAATCACTGTGATATCTGGTTTTAAAGCCTTAACCATCCTCACAATCATGGCAAGCTTGGTCTTCCCAACTGTAGGCCCCAGATGGATATCTGAAAGCAACACCACTTTCAGGTTATTCATTGTTGAGGACAGCTTATGAACTGGAACCTCCACGGAATTCACAGCAGGAGGCTGGGAGGCATTTAACAGCCCCACTACAGTCAGCACAACAGTCAGCAGCACTGCCAACACTGGTTTCATCGCTGGTCTGTTCTTGTTGCCAGTGCCTGCCTTAGCACCTTTCCCAGCCAACAACTTGTAAGCCTGCTCTACAGAGCCTAGAGTGAAGAGGAAGAAAATCAGAATGATATAGGCCCCCAGGCAAGTGTAGGCAGCTAAAGAAAAGAAATAGGGCTCTTCCGCAACAAGAAACAGCAACGTGAAGAAGCTTGAATGAGCCAGAGCCAGAAACATGAACACAGCTATTTTCCAGGGCATGAAACAGAACGAGCTGGCAACTGAAGCCCTGGAGAATGTGGTGACTGTACTTCTCCACACATGAAGAGATCCTATCAACATGAGTGCATTAGCAAACAGTGCTGTCTGCAGCCTCAGGAGCCAGCGCCGCATCCTGAGATCCAGCTTTTCTGACAGGTAACTCCGCGACAGCATCATGGAGAGGAAAACCACTCCTGCAGCCACTGCAGCCTTTGCTTCAAGGGACAGTTGCTTGAAGGAGATCATCTTGGCTTCCTGACCGGTCCCTTTTGTTCTGCAGGAGTCTCCAGTAGGCAATAATGTGGTTATGAAGGGATGCCTTGGGTCAACAAAGCCTGCAACCAGGAACCAGTATCAGCCCATTTAAAATAGCACAGACATTCCCTTTTTCCCAGACTGCAATGAAGGACTGTTACTCTGCACATGCTACCCAAGAGACTGAGTCATGCAGAGTCACTATCATATAGACAGAGAGGAGACTTCCTGGTGTGGAATAAATCAGACAACTGAAAACACTGGATTTTGGCAGTCTCCTTTCAAGCTCTCTGCTGCCTCCCTCAAGGACTCCTTCCACCCAGTTTTTCTTTTTACTACGCTCTTTCCTCATTAAGATTTCCTTATAGTAAATCACAACAGTGATGCAATGAGCCTGGAAACAATCATTACAGTATTTGTAAGCCTCACACATGTTCTGGGACTAAGCTGCTCTGCTGTTAACTTCACACACACGTTTTCCGCTCTGCCCAAGCAGACAGCTCCATCTCAAAAGCAGGTATCACCCCACATCATCCTCACTGAATGCAAGGGATTCTACCAACACATGCTACAGCAGCAGTGAAATCCCCACTGGGAAAGCATCAGATGCAACTGTGGGATCAGGAACTCTAGGAGATGCATCCACAGGTATCCTTGCCTCCAGCTGTGAATAACACTGCCCCAAAGCCCCCAAAATCAGTAGGACCAGTGAAACCCCCACTGTGCTTGGCTACTCACCTCCTACTCCCACTGTATGTACAGCTCCCAAAGCTCAACACCTATTTCAGCATATCCTGGTCTAACAGGATGTAATTACATTGAAAAGGGCTAAAACACCACACACTGTGCTCCTGCAGAAGTAAAAGGAGCACTAAGTCTAACGCAGCTCTGTTCCAGACTGAAAATAAATAAGCAAGCACCAGTTATGTTTGAATCCAACCAGAATTCCCAGCTTGCCCTGTATTTTGTACACAGTTCATAGGACTTCGACTAAAGTTTGCACATTTCTAGTTAAAATAAACCTACTGGTCTTTCATAACATACAATAGAGAAAAGGCTGAGATGACAAACTACCTTATTTAAAGCCATGCAGCAGCACACACACACTTTCAAAACCCTTCCTCTCTCTCAGCCCACACTTAACTAAGAGAAAGAGAAAGCAATCATTACAGCCAGAAATACCTCAGAAGTAGGGCACAAAAGCAGCCTTGTGGTGCCCTGCAGCAAGCTTGAGCCCATTGGTCTATAAACCCCGTTTGCCAGGTTAGTTATCTGCAGCATGTACTGCCCCAAGCTCATTTCAAAGCGCATCAGCAGCTCTGTGACAGAGGACCCTGCTGCATTTCGAGGACTAGACCACGTTTTAATGAGACCCCTTCCCTCACTGCTTGCTGAGGGAGCTGTGGGTTGACAAGAGAATCATCCTGTCAGCCCCAGCTCCTCAAGCCCTCTCAGCTGGTACAAAACTACTCTGTTTTACACACATGCCTCTGCAGAAAATCAGCAGAGCCAGGAAAATAACAGCATAAGAAATGCCTTACTGGTTTGAGCCCATGGCTCCTTGAGACACCAGGCCACACTGTGTCTGGACAACAGCAATAAAATGCTGTTTAAAGAAACAACCTGCCCTGGCCACTGTCTGTGGCTGCTCTCCTCACACTCCTCCAGCTGACAAAGCTCCTTCATGAGGGGTGTTAGAAGGCAAATCCTTGCCTGGTCTTTTTTGGATGTTGTTTATTAACCCAATGTATTTTAATGTGGCTAATCCTCTTTTGGGATCTGTTAAACCCTGTCTGCTTCTAAACAACCTCCTGCTGCAGCAAATCCCTGAAGTTCTCTATATGTTTTTGAAGTATTTTCATAGAATCACAGAACAGTCTGGGTTGGAAAGGACCTTCCAAGCTCATCCAGTCCAACCCCCTGCAATGAGCAGGGGCATCTTCAACTAGACCAGGTTGCCCAGAACCACATCCAGCCTGGTCTGGAATGTCTCCAGGGATGGTTCATCCATCACCTCTCTGGGCAACCTGTGCCAGTGTTTTACCACCCTCATTGTACAGAATTTCTTCCTCACATCCAGCCTGAATCTCCCTCTTTTAGTTTAAACCCATCACCCTTCATTCTGTCACAACAGGCCCTGCTTAAAACTCTCCCCATCTTCCTAATTAAGCCCCCTTTAAGAACTGAAAGGGCAGAACAAGGTCTCCCCAGACCCAACTCTTCTCCAGGCTGAACAAGCCCAGCTCTCTCAGCCTTTCCTCACAGCAGAGCTGCTCCATCCATCTGACCATTTTGTGTCCCTCCCCTGGCCCCTGTCCAACAGGCCCACGTCTTTCCTGTGCTGAGGACTGGAACAGGCTGCCCAAGGAAGTGGTAAATGCCCCATCCCTGGCAGTGTTGGTGACATGGTCTCATGGGAGGCATCACTGCCCGTGGCTGGGGGTTGGAACTGGATGATCTTAAGGTCCTTTCCAACACAAACCAGTCTGTGATTTTATGACTCCAGAGCTGGACACAGTTCTCCAGTGGGGTCTCACCAGAGCAGAGGGGCAGAACCACCTCCCTTGAGCCACACTCCTCTGGATGCTGCCCGAGATACAACTGGCCTTTGGGCTGCACGTACACATTTTGTCTGTCTTAAACTAGTCCACTAAATCCACCAAGCGTCCCTCTTCTAATACAACCAAATCCACTGAGTATTGGTTCTCCATTCCTCTTACTTCAGAACTCTGTCAGTCTCCCCCATAACCAAACCCCTCAGAGTCCACGCTTGGTACCACCAGCCTTCCCTTTGACAATGGTCTCCCCGTGGCTGCATTATTCCCCCACAGCTTTAACCCCCGCGCATCCCTCAGCTGCAGCATCTGCCAAAAGAACACTGATGCTGGGCTCCAAACTCCAGTCACCAGCGACGAGGCTCCCACAGCAGATGTAGAGACAAAGGACGTGCCCGGGCACCTGCTATGGCACCCGCTGCTCACAACAGCAGCAGAGGAGTCGATGTGGAAGCTGGCCAGGGCAGGACAAGCTCCTCTCCCTGCACACACCACGGCACAGCAGGTTTCCCATGGGATGTGCTCCTGGATGCTGGTGTC